CAAGAGCATATAGTACCCTCTGGGATGGAGTGTGTGAGCAGTTTAATTCTTTCCCTTCCTTCCTTCCTTCCTTCCTTCCTCCTCTTCCTCTTCCTTCCTCTCTCCTCCCTCTCCTCCCTCCCGTCGTTCTCTTTCTTTCCCTCCCTCCCCCTCTTCTCTTTCTTTCTTCTCTTTTTTTTTCTTTCTTTCTCTCTTCATCTTGCTTATCTTCTTCTTTCTCTTGCTTCTTCTTCTCTCCTCTCTCCTCCCTCCTTCTCTTTCCTCTTTCTTTTCTTCCCTCTCTCCTCTTCTTTCTTTCTTTTTTGTTGGATGGAGTCTCACACCTGTGCCCAGCTGGCAGTGCAGTGGCACGATCTCGGCTCACTGCAGCTCCCCCATCCGGGTTCATGCATGTCCTGCCTTTGGCCCCAGGGTAGCTGGGACTACAGCGCTGCCCCCACCTGACGCCTGGGCTAATTTTTTGTACTTTAGTAGAGACGGGGTTCACCGTGCTTCAGCCAGGATGGTCTCGATCTCCGGACCTCGTGATCCGCCCACCGTCGCCCTCCCAAAATGCTTAGGATTACAGGTTGAAGGCGCTGTGCCCCGCCCCCGTAAAAAAAAAAAAAAAAAGTTGAGGGGAGGGTAACTAATTTTTCCCAAGGACACACAGCTAGGAAGCAGAAGAGTTGGGATTTGAACCCAGAAATTTGGGCTCCAGAGTCTGTGCTTATCACAGCCAAGGAATGCCTCCTCTCACCATCATTGCAATTGTCATTTTTACTGTGGTTGCTGTTTTTGCTTTTGACTTATATCCTCAACTCATCCCTCAGGCAGGGGGTCAGATCCAGCAAACGTCCTACAGCATCGTCCTGGAACCCCAAGGTTTGTGAAATCTGCAGAGGGTATGTGAGATCCTGGGGCTGTGCTAGGGAGGAGGAAGGAGTTGGCATGAGCGGGTGTGCCCAGGTGGGGACTCCGAGCCCCAGCCCCAGGCTCTGTGCGCCCTGACTTCCCCAGCCCCAGAGCCCACTTGTCACAGAAGGTTGTGGTTCTTCAGGTCAGACCCAGACAAAACTGGTGCCAAGACAGGAGTTCTTGAACATGGTACCCGACACGGAGGCGGAAGTGTTTATCAGTGTTCAAGGTGCTGGGGGACACAGGAACGTGGAGAGGGCTGATACTGGGTCCTCTAAGGTCCACGAGGCACCAGGGCAGGAGGAGCTGGGGGTGGCCGTGTGGGGCGATCAGTGAACCATGGTGGCTTAGGCATAGGCCACTCCCAGGGTGACCCAACTCACCCACCCAACAGGTGACATCCTTGGTGAGACAATTGTGGGCAGCCTGACACCCAATGAGATTCGGCATCTGCTGCGGGTCCCCACGGGCTGCCCTGAGCAGACACTGAGCTCCCTGACACCTGTCATCATCCTGTCCCGCTATTTGGATGCCACCCGCCAGTGGGGCAAGGTCGGGGTGGAGCACAGGGACCAAGTGATGAAGAATATTGTCAGCGGTGAGAGCTGGGACCCTCCTGGGGCCTCCATGAGGGTGCCTGGGGATCTCCCAGAGGGTGGCTGGGGCACCCCCAAGATTGGGAAAATCTTCATGGGACCCCCCCCAGCCCCCGCCTCAGGCATTAACACCCAAACTGTGACTCCTTCCCCAGACTGCAACCTGGTACTAATTCCCCAAGGTCATCCCCCAGCTGTGACACACCCATGGGAATTCTTCACCTGACCCCTTCCCCAGGCTTCAATCTTTTCTCTTCTTTTGTGATGTAGTCTCGCTCTGTCACCAAGGCTGGAGTGCACTGGCATGATCTTGGCTCACTGCAACCTCCACCTGCCAGGTTCGAGCCATTCTCCTGCCTCAGCCTCCTGAGTAACTGGGATTACAGGTGCCCGCTACCATGCCTGGCTAATTTTTTTATTTGTATTTATTTATTTATTTATTTATTTAGAGACGACATCTCACTCTGTCGCCCAGGCTGGAGTGCAGTGGCGCAATTTCAGGTGCCCCCCGCCACACTCGGCTAATTTTTGGATTTTTAGTGCAGATGGGGTTTTGCCATGTTGGTCAGGCTGCTCTCGAACTCCTGACCTCAGGTGATCCACCTGCCTGGGCCTCCCTAAGTGCTGGGATTACAGGTGTGAGCCACCGCGCCAGACCTCTAGGCTTCAATCTTATGTCAGACACCCTGATTTCTCCCAACAAGCCATGCTGCAAGATGATGTGGTACTCAGGCCCTGCCCCAGGTTGCACCCCCTCAGTGCCACTGCCAGGGAACCCCAGGGAACACCCAAGCAGCAAACCCCAGAATAACCCCAGGCAGTGGCCTCTTAGTTGCACCTGTATGCTGATACTTCCCCGGGTTACAACCAAACACCCCAGGGAGTAACCAGAGATGAACACCCCTAGTAACACCCACCGAACTCTGAGTTAATTGGTCCCAGGTTTCCCTCAGACTCCAACTTTCCCTCCAGGTTTTCTCAAACGGTAATCCCACAGGTAACATCCAGATACTGTCACCCCAGTGCTCCAAGCAAACAGTAAACCTCCAGGGGAATTTCAAGTAATGAGTAGCGAGGCTCGGAATACACCTGAAAGGCTGGGTGTGGTGGCTTGTGCCTGTAATCCCAGCACTTTGGGATGCCAAGGTAGGAAGATCACTTGAGCCCAGGAGTTTGAGACCAGCCTGGGCAACATAATGAGACCCTCATCTGTAAAAAAAAAAAAAAAATGTTTAAATTGGCTAGGTATGGTGGTTCCCGTTTGCAGTCTCAGCTATTCAGAAGCCTGAGTGGGAGGATTGCTTGAGCCCCACAGTTTGAGACTAGCCTGGGCAACATAGTGAGACCTCATCTTTAAAAAAAATTAGACTGGTGTAGTGGTACATGCCTGTAGTCCCAGCTACTACTTGGGAGGCTGAGGTGGGAGGATAACTTGACCAGGGAAAGTTGAGGCTGAAGTGAGCTATGATTGTACCACTGTACTCCAGCCTGGGTGACAGAGTGAGACCCGGTCTCAAAAAAATAAAAATAAATAAAAAAAGGGCCAGGCACACGCCTGTAATCCCAGCACTTTGGGAGACTGAGGCAGGTGGATCACCTGAGGTCAGGAGTTCAAGACCACCTTGGCCAACATGGTGAAACCCCATCTCTACTAAAAATACAAAAATTAGCCAGGTGTGGTGGTGCGCCCCTGTAGTCCCAGCTACTCAGGAGGCTGAGGCAGGAGAATCACTTCAACCCAGGAGGCAGAAGTTGCAGTGAGCTGAGATCGCTCCACTGTACTACAGCCTGGGTGACAGAGCAAGACTCTGTCTCAAAAAAATAAAAAGAATACACCAGAGAGGTACTCATCTAAGATCACGCCCCAAAGTAACCTCCCCTGGGTGACACAGACGCACTGATACTCCAGGTTTACATCCAAGAAATAACCCCCAAGAAAACTCCTAGGCTGGCCGGGCGCAGTGGCTCACGCCTGTAATCCCAGCACTCTGGGAGGCCAACGTGAGTGGATCACCTGAGGTGAGGAGTTCCAGACCAGCCTGGCCAACATGGTGAAACCCCGTCTCTACTAAAAATACAAAAAATTAGCCAGGCGTGGTGGTGAGCGCCTGTAGTCCCAGCTACCCTGGAGGCCAAGGCAGGAGAATGGCATGAACCCAGGATGGGGAGCTTGCAGTGAGCCGAGATCGTGCCACTGCACTCCAGCCTGGGCGACAGTGTGAGACTCCATCCAAAAAAAAAAAGAAAGAAAGAAAGAGAGAGAGAGGGGGGAAGAAAGAAAGAAGAGAAAGAAGAGAGGGAGGGAGAGAGAGAGAGAGAAAGAAGAAGAAGAAGAAAGAAAGAAGATAGAAAGATGAAAGAAAGAGAAAGAAAGAAAAAAAAAGAGAAAGAAAGAAAGAGAAGGGAGGGGGAGGGAGGGAAAGAAAGAGAGACGGAGGGAGGGAGGGAGGGAGGGAGGAAGGAAGGAAGGAAGGAAGGAAGGAAGGAAGGAAGGAAGGAAGGAAGGAAAGAATTTAAACCTCACAACAACTCCATCAGATGGGTACTATTATTGCTCTTGGTTTAGAGATGAGGAAATTGAGACACAGAGAGGTTCAAGGGCTTGCCCGGAGTCACACAGCACATAAATGGCAGATTGGGCTCTGACTCAGGCTGGGTCTGTGGTCCCCATCACTAGGCTTCACTGTCACCTACTCGGGCATCTCAGGATGGGGAGGGGACTGTAACCCTAGGGTCCTGGACTACGTCATACATCGATACCGTCTCCCTTTGCCCATCCTGCCCTAGGTCCGAGTGGAGTTCCCCCACAAGGAGCCACTGTGCAGTGCGTCAAAGCCAGGAGCACCATCCCGCCAGGTGGTGGTCGTGCCCCCCACCTCCTCCAAGATAGTACCCTTTGTGCTTCTCCCTCTGGAGATAGGCAAAGTGGACGTGGAGGTCAAGGCTGTGGGCTACGGGGTCCAGGACCACGTGAAGAAGACACTCTTGGTCCGGGTAATGGGCACCCCCAACTCCCTAGCTGCTGGTGCAGACAGCGGGGCTTCCACCAGGTCCAGGCTGGGCAGGTGGGCCCAGGATCGATAAACAGGGCTCCTAGATGGGAGTGAGATGAGAGAACAGATTTGAAAGTTCAATCAGTTGGCTGGGCGTGGTGGTTCACACCCATAATCTCAGCAGTTTGGGAGGCCAAGGCGGGTGGATCACCTGAGGTCAGGAGTTCGAGACCAGCCTGGCCAACATGGTTGAAAAAAACTCCTCTCTGCTAAAAAATACAAAAAAACTAGCCGGGTGAGGTGGTGGGTGCCTGTAGTCCCAGCTACTCGGGAGGCTGAGGCAGGAGAATGGCGTAAACCCGGGCGGCAGAGCTTGCAGCGAGCTGAGATCCCGCCACTGCATTCCAGCCTGGGAGACACAGCAAGATTCCGTCTCAAAAAAAAAAAAAAAAAAAAAAAACCTCCCACGTAGCACCCCTCAAGTTGCCCCATCTTCCAGGTTACATGTGGACAACAATACCTATGATTTCTTCTAGCAGCAACTCCAAGGGTAGCATGCCCTGCCCCAGAGTCCCCGAGGTGAAGGTTTCCTGGGTTACACTCAGAGACAACTGCATCCTGGGTCCCTCAAAGTCATTTCTGAGCCCTGCTCCTCACTTACACCTGGGCCCTAAACACCCCTCCAAAGCACACCTGGACAACAGGTCTCCCCCTCTAGATTACCTCTATGCGTGACACCCCCACGTCACCTCCAGTCCCTGCCCGCCAGGTTATTCCTGATAACACTGACTGTCCCTCAAAGCCCTGCTCTGTTGCCTCAGGCTACACTCGGATGCTGACCCACCGGAGTTCAGACGGCACCTACCACACCTCCAAGGGGAGCCCAGGAAGCACCTGGTGAGGATGACCCTGTCTCTCCTGTCACTGCCACCCTGGAAGCCCACGGGGCCAGTCTGGGGTCTGATGACTCAGGAGCATCCACGCTGTAGAGTCTTGGGGTCTTGGGGTGTCCAGCACACGGGTCTGGGGAATTCTACACTGGCAGGCCTGGGCAGCGGCAAACGGCAGGGGTCCACCTGGAATGGTGTGGACCATGGCGTAGATTCCCCCTATCCCAGAGCCCCCTTGGCTTCCGTTCCCAGGTGTCACCTTCACCCTCTCCTGACAGGCTCACAAGCTATGTGTTCCGTGTCTTTGCCCTGGCCTACTCTACAATGACGACCCAAGTGCTTAGCCTGTCCTCTCTCTGTGACATGGCCAACTGGATCATCACCAACAGGCAGGCGGAGGACGGGCACTTCCTGGAGGAGGGTCCCGTGGTCATGACATCCATGCAGGTGATCACACCCCTCCCTGCCTGGGCCATTCAAACAAATCCCAGGGACTCTGTGTGCTAAGACGGAGATTTCAGGCTCCCAATCTGTTCTTGGGCAGAATGAGAACAGGAAAGAGTTGAGGCTCGGTGCCAAGGATCACATCCCCGCCCAGGTCTAAACCACCTCACACTCTTCCTCATCCCCACATCAAGCAGTGGCCTGCCCTGTCCCTCCTCCCTCGGGCACTGAGTCCTCCCCAGCTTGCACACCCATCCCCACCGAGTCCCCTCACACCAGCATCCAGAAATGTCTTTCAAACGCAGCCTGGCAGGTCTCTCCCCTGCTCAAACACCTGCTGTAGCTCACAGCTATCTTTGTCTGTATCACCTCCTAGGTCTCGCCCCACCACTCCTTTCTCAGTATTCACACTTAACCACTCATAGGCTCCTCCAACTCTCCTCCAAAAAGTACTTTTGCTGCCTTCTCTGCAAGCAACAGGCCAAATTATTATTATTACTATTTATTATTTTGAGATAGAGTTCCACTCTGTCACTCAGACTGGAAGGTAGTGGCATGATCTCAACTCACTGCAACCTCCATCTCCTGGGTTCAAGCGAGTCTTATGCCTCAGCCACCCGAGTAGCTGAGATTACAGGCATGTGCCACCAGATCCAGCTAATTTTTACATTTTTGTTTTAGTAGATGGGGTTTCACCATGTAGTCCAGGCTGGTCTCAAACTCCTGCCCTTAAGTGGTCTGCCTGCCTCGGCCTCCCAAAGTTCTGGGATTACAGAGATGAGCCTCGGCTGGAGTGCAGTAGCACGACCTCGGCTCACTGCCTCTGCCTCCTGGGTTCAGCCTATTGTTACTATTTTTAGAGATAGGATCTTGCTCTGTTGCCCAGGCTGGAATGCAGTGGCACAATCATAGCTCATTACAGCCTCAAACTTCTGAGCTCAAGAGTCCCCTTGCCTTAGCCTCCTCAGTGGCTGGGACTAAAGGTGCAAACCACCATTCCTGGCTAATTTTTTTTTTTTTTTAAGATGGAGTCTTGCTCTGTTGCCCAGGCTGGAGTGCAGTGGTGAAATCTCGGCTCACTGCAACCTCTGCCTCCTGGGTTCAAGCAGAGATTCTCCTGCCTCATTGTACAGCTGGATACACGCATGCACAACCTTGCTTAATTTTTGTAGTTTAGTAGAGAAAAGTTTTGCCACACATGTTCCCAGGCTAGTCGAACTCTGACCAGTGATTTCTTGCCTCAAGAGTACTGGGATTAACAGGCATGAGCATCACCTCTGACCCCTGACATGACCCTTTCTTGTTTTTTTTTTTTTGAGACGGAGTCTTGCTCTGGTCATCGCCAGGCTGGAGTACAGTAGCACGATCTCCAGCTCACTGCACTCTGCCTCCTGGGTTCAAGCGATTTTTGCTCAGCTCCAAGTAACGGACTCGCAGGCCAATCCACTATATCAGCGCTACCTTTGTATTTTTAGGTAGAGCAGGGTTTCACCGTATTGGCCAGCTGGGTCTCGAACTCCTGATTATTGGATCTGCCCACCTCAGCCTCCCAACATGCTGGATTCACAGGTGTGCACCACCGCACCCAGAATTTTTTTTTTTTTTGACGACACATTGTCTGTACAGGTAGAGTGAAGTAGTCTCGGCTCACTGCAACATCTGCCTCCCAGGTTCGAGCGATTTCCTGCCTCAGCCGTCCCGAGTAGCGGGAACTACAGGCCTCATGGCACCAGTGCCTGGTTAATTTTTGGTATTTTTTTTAGTAAGCTAGGTTTCACCATGTTATCAGATGGTCCATCTCCTGACTCGATGCAGTCCACGCGTGTCCGGCCTCCCAAAAGTGCTGGGATTACGAACGTGGACCAGCCACATGGGGCCGATCATTTCAATTTAATAGGGCACCAGAATTATATTATAACTTAGTCCACACCATTCCATATCCTCTCTTATTTTACTC